CGCGGCTCGGGGCTCCCCCGGCCGCGGCCTCCCTGGGCAGCGGGAGTTTGGGCAGAGTTATATCGGCACCTGGGATAAAGCAGCTTAGAGTTGGGGCACTCGGGGACAGGCAGAGCTGCCGTGGGAAAACTCGGTGTATCGTTGTCGCTGGGCCTGGAGAATAAAGGAGTTAGAAAGAGTCGAAGTTAAGGTGGTTTGCGGCGTGACTTGGGGAGGTGGTGGCACCGTACAGGGAAATATGTAAACGGGGTCGTGTCCTGCTGCAGGAAGGAGGTGGAGAATGTTGCCAAGACGAAAGGAAGGAGATGGACGAGCCAGGGGTGGCCAAAGGGGGATTAAGGCAGTGGATGGAGTTCCAAATGGATTCACAGTGTTGGAGCAGTGTTTGAAGCTAGAGCTTGGCATGGTCCTGACAGCATGAGGCATAAAGAGCTGAGAACCTGCATGGAGGAGTCTGTCTGGGGCAGAGCTGGCTCAGGAATGGGCAGAATGTCAGTCCCCACGGCTGTAAGGGAACCCACCAGGAATGCTGTCATTTTGGCAGCTTTTTAGAGAGGGGAAAAGAAATGTTGTTTTTGACATTCCTGACATGAATTTCTGAATGAGGTAGAAGGCAGATTTGGCACCAAGAAGGTACTGAAATAACAGATGAGGACAGTGGTTTAGTACTTTGTTTCAGTGAGTTTCAAGGGCGTTTTAAAAGTGCTACTTACAATGGGTAACTTGTGTTACCTGCAGAAGGTAACTGTAGCACAGTTGCTTGAGTGTTTATTCAGTCTAAATCAAAAGAAAGATAAAGAGCTTTGAAGTAACAGGCAGCTCTTAAATATCAGAGCGCCAAAACATTAGTTAGGTTCAGAGACAGAAAAGCATTCATGGATCTTACTGATTTTGTGAAGTGATGGTAAGGATGTCATGCCCTGAGAGCAGAGGACTGGGTATTGTGACCTGAAAGCCCCTTTGAATCTAACATTTCTAACTTTCAGGTGTGAGTTTCTGTTCATGTGTCTGTGATTAAAAACTTTCAAGTTTAAAAAAGAAACGAGATAAAACCAGGAGGGAAGAGAGCAAAGTAGAAAATAAAAAAAAGGGGAAGGAAATGGACTTCCTAACTGGATTTTTTCCTTTCAAAACAAACAGCCAAACAAAAAAACCCCACATGAGTTCATGTATATACTTTGAGGAACTAGATAATCCTTTGGATTTTTTTTTTGGTTTGGTTTTGTTCTTATAATTACTTTTATTCCCCTGTTTTTAAAAACATGATCTTTCTTCTTCTGCTTTGTCAAAGGCTGTCCAGCCACACGAGAATAGCTGATTGCTTTGTGCCTTTTATTCTCCAGTATGTATAAACAAGTTGAAAGTATTATTACCACATTGTTACAGAAAAATGTGGCTAATACAGCATAACTGCATTAAAAGTGATTTAGCTGTTGATCTCTGATGTGGGTGCTCTGACAAAATACAGCAGCAGGTGAAGTAGTTTGTCCAAAGTGCCACCTCAGAGTGCACTTCTGTCCCACTTCTGTTGGATGTGCATCTGATTGAGGAGGTGTTTTGCATGGGTACTTCATAAATAAGATGTCATAGACACTCAGAACAGCTCATTGTGTGCACAGTAAAAACATTCCTAAGGGTAACATGTCAGTTAATTAACTGAGGAATAAATGTTGTAGAAGCCAAGAAGTAAATACAGGTTATTCCTGAGCCCTGTCCATGGGTAGCTATAAATAGGAAATGCCAGTTCTGCAGTGTGTCAGATGGTGACACCAGTGCTAACAGCATATGTTCACTGGCTTAGTTAAAGAGCTGGTTGCTGTGTTGGGTTTTTTTGGGGTGGAATGACTTTTTTGTTGCTCGTTAGTCCTCTTTTTTTTTAATCTTACCATGTGAAAGATTCTGTAGGAAGTTTTACATCACCTGAAATACTCTGTTGATTTTCTTACTGCAGGTCCTGTCTGGTTGTGGTGTCTATGATGGCACAGAAATCCATGAGGCATCAGCGTAAGTTGCTTTATGAAGGCTCCAAAAAAGTCTCAGTTACATTGCAGCAGTCTGTTTAATTTAGTTTTGCTGTCTCTGGGTGATCAAAATCACCCTGAGAGATGTATGATGAAGCTTTACAGTTTTCTCAGAGCATAACTGGGAGCTCTGGCAGTGGTTTTGTTATACAAAGGTGCAGCACAATGCATGTGATGCCAGAACAGTGAGTTTAAAAGAGGCTGTCTTTCCTTCAGAAATTCAGAGTTCCATTATCAATCTCAAGAGAGTTAAGTGCAGACTTAACTTCATCATCACACTGAGTTTCTGTTCCTGAGGCTAAATCTAACACTAGAATTGTTAATACTTACACTGAATTATTAACTCTCAGTGTGAATTACTAAGACAAGTTTCACCTAGACCTAGATTAAATGCACACATGGGTATGTTAATCATGGGACTCTTCCATAGCACCTGGAGATTTGAAAAGGGAAATTGATATTGTTCCTGGTTGCCTGCATAAGAGCACCAAAGAAAGAAACTTGTCTCTTGCTTTTACCTGCCTCAAACTGGCTTTCTGTTCTGCTCTGCAGTTTGGTGTCCATACAGGGATTTTGCTGCTATGTGCTCAGTGTGCTTTGGTAGGATATGTGTCTTTCCTCTTCTTTCAAAGTCAGGTGGTGGAGTACTTGTAGCAAGACTTGGGGTCTAGATAAAGCCTCTCCCTTAAGGTTTTCTGCACATTTTATCTCTGTTTTTGTAGTGTATTGGTACACCTTAGTCGTGGGGGAGCTGAGGTTCACATGTATGCTCCAGATGTTCCTCAGATGCATGTCATTGACCACAGTAAAGGCCAACCAGCTGAAGCTGAGTCAAGGTAAGGCTGTGTTTAATGTGTTTTCTGTGACTGCTGAGCCACAGTCTCTCAGACGTTCTTCAGATCTGGCAGCCTGTAACAGCATTTATCATAGAATCATAGAATTTTAGGGGTTGGAATGGACCTTACAGATCATCTAGTCCCAACCCCTGCCCTGGGCAGGGACACCTCCCACCAGAGCAGGTTGCTCAAGGCTCATCCAACCTGGCTGTGAACACCACCAGGGTTGGGGCAGCCACCACATCCCTGGGCAACCTGGGCCAGTGTCTCACCACCCTCACAGGAAAAAACTTTTTTTCATATCTAACCTAAACTTGCCCTCCTTCTTGTAGCAGTTGTAGCACTTTGCTCACTACTTTCAGTAGCTTTATGCCAGCTGGTGTTTTGTTTGGAGAGAAGATATTACATGAGTTTTCTGGACTTGATTATAAACAGCCTCTCAGTGCCTGTGTTTCCCAGCAGTTGTATTTCAGAAGCATCAACAGCTTCAGTTATTAAATACTACTGCCCTTCTTGCTTCCTCCCTTCTCTTCTTCTGCTAAAACTTTATTTATGCTGTTCTGTGTGCAAATAATGAATCTCATTGTTTTATTTCTGTTTCTTCAAGGAATGTTTTAGTGGAATCTGCAAGAATTGCCCGTGGTAAAATTGCAAGCCTGGCTAAGCTTACTACAGCAGAACATGATGCTGTGATATTCCCTGGTGGATTTGGAGCTGCTAAAAACTTGTGAGTTCCAGCTAAGCATTAGACTCCTCAGTTAAATGTTCATAATTAACTATGCATAATCAGCCTGGAAAAGAGAAGACTTTGGTGTGACCTAACTGTGGCCTTCTAGTACCTGAAGGGAGCTTACAAGAAAGATGGAGAGAGACTTTTACAAGGGTCTGGAGTGACAGAACAAGGGGGAATGGCTTCATATGAGGAAAAAATTCTTCACTATGTGGGTGTTGAGGCACTGGAATAGGTTGCCCAGAGAAGCTGTGGCTGCTCCATCCCTGGAAGTGTTCCAGGCCAGGCTGGATGGGGTTTGGAGCAACCTGGGCTAGTGGAAGGTGTCCCTGCCCATGGCAGAGAGCTGGAACTAGATGATCTTTAAGGTACTCAACCCAAACCATTCTGTGATACTATGATTCACACAATAAAATCAGGAAGCAACAAATGGCCTTATTTGCTGCATATGTAATCCCTACTTAACAGGGAAAACTTTCAAAGTCTTGGAGTTTAGTTGTGGTGTTCATAATTTGTATGGGCAGTGTCATGTTTTAAATTTAAATGTTTTAAAATTAATTTTTCTGGACAATGTTGATGAGAATTCTGGAATTTATATAATGCATAAGTAGTCCTTTTCCCCTCCAACCTTCTGGTGATTCTTTTTGAGCTTGAAGGAAGTGAAGGTAAAACGTCAATAGTTTCAGGGGATCCTAGAGTTATTTTTCTGGTTTTCCTGCCTGCCTACCAAAAAGTCCCTCTTGAATTACTAAGAATAAAGCAACAGCTAACTCAAAAAAAGTAAAAGGACAAAAAAGTGTTAGTATGTGAAATAGTGATTATCTTGTCACTGACCTACTGTTTTGTTGGCTTTGAGAAACATGACTGTTATTTCCCTTTTCTTCATACGTACTTTTCTTCTTTGAAAAGATTGTTGTTCCCCTTCTCAGTAATCATAGAAAGCTGATTTGTTAATTCTTGTTTCCAGATGATTATAGCAAGAAAGGAACTTTCTGACAGAGCAAAGCCTTAGAAGTGAATCATTTTGGCTAAAACATTGATGGTCAATTTCAGGCTTTTTCATCCACCTTTAGAAGCTGTGAAGTTTGTGCTGACCCTTTGGAGCCAGGCTCAGGGCAGATGGGCAGGTACCTCTGTAGGTTTATACTGAGGTTTGTATGAAGTTTCTTGTTGTGACAGATCTACCTTTGCTGTTGATGGGAAAGACTGCAAGGTGAACAGAGAAGTTGAACGAGTCTTGAAAGACTTCCACAAAGCAGGAAAACCTATTGGGTATGTATATTGTTGATACATGGAGACAGCATGTTTTGTCGAAATGTGAACCTGTTGTTGGAACTGGGTAAAGTATCTTCTGTTATCTATCACTTATAGCCTATTTTTAAATGTGTTTTTCAAGATGTGTGTGTGTTTGTCAAAGAAGCAGCTAAGAAAATGCTGAGTTGGAAGTTGCCTTGTGATGTCTTTCAGATGTGTGAGACTGTGTCCGTGTGAATCTTTTCAGTTATGGCCTAGATTTGAAGGATTGCTGTTGTGGGATTGTTCTTACACCTCCTTTTGTTGCAGTCTGTGCTGCATTTCACCAGTGCTGGCTGCAAAGGTTCTCTCTGGTGCTGAAGTAACCGTGGGCCATGAAGAAGAGGAAGGTGGCAAGTGGCCTTATGCTGGGACTGCAGGAGCCATTAAGGAGCTGGGAGCAAAGCACTGTGTCAAAGAAGTAACCATATCCTTTCATGTTAATTTCTTGTCCAGAGAGTTTAGTAATGTGTCATTACAGGAGGGAATACATGCAGGATCTGTGCTTTTCCACTCAAACTTTTGTGGGAATATTCACTGTGTAGCACAGAGCATGTGATACAGTGAAGGATTAGAAACAGTGTCTTCTGTACACAGCTGTATAACTACTGTGTCTGTGTAACTACACAGCTGTGTAGTTAGGAGCAGTTCTTAGTCATTACCATAAAACTCCCTTGGACACCTGGTAATGCAGTAAATGCTGAGTGAATTTGCCTTTAAAACTGGCACAAGTTATAATCTCTGTGAGGTTTTTATTCTTTTCTTACAGGCTGATGCTGTAATCAGTCTGTACTCAGAGATACTTTATTACAGTTGAGGAATTTCATAGGTTTTCTTGTGTTTGAGTGTTTCCACAGATTTCTCTTGCAGTGTTTGTATTTCCAGCAAAAATAGCTTTGAGTATCTTGGAATATGGGTTGCAGCTGTCTTTACAGCTGGATGGTATAAGATATTTGGAGATGCTTTTTTACAGGGTAGTGAAGTTGTGAGGATTTGCCAATGCTGGTTCAGTTTGCAGACAGCACCTGCAAGTGAGACATAGTCTGTGTTTTCCTTGACTCCCTTTTACGAAGCTCATGTGGATACAAAAAACAAGGTGGTGACTACCCCAGCATTTATGTGTGAAACACAACTGCATCACATCTTTGATGGCATTGGGGCCATGGTAAAGAACGTGCTAAAATTAACTGGCAAATAAAAGCCAATCAGAAATGTTGAAATTTAGGGTGTAGTATCAAATACAACATGGACCAATGGAAATGTTTTCACCTGCTTGTCCTGCTCACACTCTATTGAATGCTGATAAGAAGCTGATTGGTTCCCAGCTGCAGGATTTTCCATGGCTTTTTGGGAGAGGGCAAGGAGCCTGACCTGAGACACAGCATTTTGTTGAGTTTTTCTGGCTGGAGAGAGACGTGTGGATGTGTCCTGAAACAAGTGCTCCTGATGCACCAGTGTCAAACCAGTTCTAAGGGGGCAAAAAGAGACTCGAGGCCCTTTGAGGAGCTGAGGGCAGATGTGTTGTAAGGGTTTGGCATGTGGATGAAGAGTGGGAGTAGAGAGGAATGTGTGCATGGTTCAAGGCTCAGACCTGTGAGCTAAAAGCCTGTATCAGTTATCGAGGGAATAGAAATCTTCCCCATCTTAATTTAGTTTGGTAGTAATGAAAAGACTATTTTTTTCTGTTTCAAAGAACCCTGTTTTCACAAAGCCATTCTGAAGATCAATCAGCAGCAGGACACAACAGCCACAACAGTAGCACTTTGAAAAATTCATCCATTGGCCCATTCTCATTTTCAAAAGTCTTGAAGGAGGAAATATCCGCTGACGTGACGCACAACTTTTAGGGATAGTATCCATGTTCAAGTAGTTGTATGACTAGTAGTGAATGGAAAAACCAGTCTCAAATTATCCTAACTTCCTCTGCTTTAGGGTAATAAAGCTTTCTCCAAAGAAATGTTATTGAATGTCTGGAATAATGTTGTATAAATAAATTAATTTCTGCCTTTATCTCATCCTTGTCCCTTCACTTGTGTTTGAAAGCTGCTTTTGATAACCTACACTGCTTGGTACATTCTAGCAGGTTTTCTGCTTTTCAGTTCTCTTCACCTCTTTGGTACATTTTTTCCATATAGAATCCAG